AGAAGCTTACATTGTTCCTATCCCAGAGAAGTTAGTGTGATCATATACTTAAAAATTGGCTCTGCTGTGGGTTAGTTGTGTGACCTTGACCAAGTTGCTGTCTCTCCAGTCTTCAGTTTTAAGTAAATAAGAGGTTGAATTTGGTTATCTTGTCCCAAATTTTATAATCCTAGAACCGAGTTGTTTGCCTTTAATATAGGGTGGGGCAAAGGCAGTTTTACAGTTGTTTGTATGGAAAATAATATAATCTATATATATAAAGAGCCAGGGTCTGTAATGTCCACAACGACCAAGGCTCAACCAAACACCAGAAGTCAGTGCTGGGCTGCTGTGGCGACCCCGCACTAACTGCAGCTGGTGCCAGCACAGCAACCCAGCACTGACTGCCCAGGGGGCTGTGGATCAGGGCCCGAGAGAGGCCTTCAGAGAGAAAGAGGCAGGGTCTGATCCCCAGCATCTGTGGCACTGTTGATCAGCCGTTGCCTCTCTCTTTCCGGGCTTCGCCAACAGCCGCACCTATTTCTCTCCGGGCCTCCGCAGAGCTGCTTATCAACCCTGCCTCTGATCGGGCCCAGAGATAGGCCCAGAGACACTGACTAGCATAGAAACTGACCAATAAGAACCAAATCTGGGTGAACTGCGAAGGCAGAACCTAAGGTGGGGACTGAGGAGGGATCTTAAGGGCAACAGGGGTTTTAAGGGTTTTTAATGACCGGTTTGGCAGTATAGTGCATATGGCTGGCTATCAGTCCAGATATAGGGATGATGTGTTTTTGTCTCCAAGAGTATCTCCTGCTGAAAAAGCCCCCCCCCCCCCATTTAAGCAATCCTGTCCTATATGATCTATACTAATAAAAAGGTAATATGCTAATTGGACTGGGTCGACCGGCCATCTTCCAGGTGTCCACCTTCCTTCCAGACAATTCCATGGTGGTAGGGGCCAAGGCAGAGGCAGTTAGGAGCGATCAGGCCAGCAGGGGAGGGCAGTTGGGGGCGAGATCAGGCCAGCAGGGGAGGGCAGTTGGGGGCGAGATCAGGCCAGCAGGGGAGGGCAGTTGGGGGCGAGATCAGGCTGGCAGGGGAGGGCAGTTGGGGGTGAGATCAGGCTGGCAGGGGAGGGCACTTGGAGGTGAGATCAGGCTGGAAGGGGAGGGTAGTTAGGGGTGATCAGGAAGGCAGAGGCAGTGGGGGCAAGATCAGGCCAGCAGGGGAGGGCAGTTAGTGGCGATCAGGCAGGCAGGCAGGTGAGTGGTTAGAAGCCAGGACTCCCAGATTGCGAGAGGGCCTAAACTGGCAGTCAGACATCCCCCAAGGGGTCCCCAATTGGAGAGGGTGCAGGCTGGGCACCCCCCCCACCCCCCGCCTGCACAAATTTCGTGCACCAGGCCACTAGTTAATAAATAATAATACAAGAATAAACTTCATATTCACAACTGTAAACCTACTTTTGTCCAGCCTGGATATTTATTTTGCAAATAATCCTGTACACTGACATTACTCATAAAAGCAAAGGGAAAAGTAAAATATTGTAGATTTATGTGGAAACCTCTGGAAAGTATATGTTTAACTGCCATTATAGAAAAAAATTTAGGTTATATTACATACATGTGGTAGAGTAGGACAGTTTTATTCCTGCAAATCTATTTTTGAATAGTGTAAAGACCTGAAGTGGTGATAATCTGAGGTTCAAAATTCTATAAATGAGAGTGAATATAATATTACCTCATCAAAAATAGTTATAAAATACTACTTTAAATGACTTAAAAATTTTTTGTTTGCATTTTTAAGTGAGATAATCTTTTATTATTAAGGGCCTATTCTATGTCCAGTATTTCACTTTAGTCTAAAAAAAAATGATCTCTGTCAGCAAAGAACTTTTAGCCTAGATCAGGGGTGGGCAACCTTTTTGTGAGTGCGTGCCAAAACCAGCAAAATCTGACTCAAAATTCTTCTGCGTGCCAACCCTAATTTTTTGAGAACATGTTACGCCTACTTGATATCTCTTAAGGTGTATGTATGTGAAGAACCTTGAAGAAATAATAAAATTCATTCGAGCGACAAAAACACAGTATATGATGATGAAAAATACGTTTATTTTTTAATGTATACATATACACTGATAGTCTGACAGAAAACTTTATCACTCTGTTTGATATTATCAGTGGGACTTTTGCTGCTGCATCACTGATGACAGAGATTTTACATCAGGTTTATATTTCGTGACCTTCAGAGATGTGCACGAGCTACTACTTTCATCTGTCAGGCTACTCCTATTACGAGACTTAACAAAATTCATCACTGAGAACAAAGATTCACAAGCGTATGTGGCTGAAACCAAAACACTGGTTGGATCTAGAAAGGCAGGGAGAGTTAAGGCAGAGGCATAGAAATTGCTCTTCCCCTCTCTCGTCAATACATGTCTATGGTCTTTAAGATAACTTGTTATGTAAAATTATTTATCTAAGATGCACCTACACTGAATTTATCTGAAAAATAAAAAAATCGATATTAAGAAAAAAATTGTAAATGGAAGATTTTAAGAGAGGGTTTTGCGTGCCAGAAAAAGTTACTGGCGTGCCATGTTTGGCACGCATGCCAGGGGTTGCCCACCCCTGGCCTAGATTGAATATTATACTTATGTACAACAACAACTAGAGAATAGTGGGCTATAAAGTCTGTCTTGCTGACTTGAAGTGCAGTAGAAGCTCAAGGAAATGAGGACTTAGACTCATAAAAGAAGACTTAGAGAAGGTAGAAGATGAGCCGGGCTTAAAGAATGAATTACAGACCCACCAGTGTGGCTCAGTTGGTTAGAGCGTCCTCTTGTGCACTAAAGGGTCTGGGATTCGATCCCTGGTTGGGGAGTGTACGGGAGGCAACAATGATGTTTCTCTCACATCAATGTTTCTCTTCCTCTCCTCCCCTCCCCTCCCCCTCCCCCTCCCCCTCCCCCTCCGCCTCCCCCTCCCCCTCCCCCTCCCCCTCCCCCTCCCCCTCCCCCTCCCTCTCCTTCTTCTCCTTCTCCTTCTCCTTCTCCTTCTCCTTCTCCTCCTTCTCCTCCCTCTTCTTCTTCTCCTTCTTCTTCTCCTTCTTCTCTTCTTCTTCTTCTCTTCTTCTTCTTCTTCTTCTTCTTCTTCTTCTTCTTCTTCTCCTTCTCCTTCTCCTTCTCCTTCTCCTTCTCCTTCTCCTTCTCCTTCTCCTTCTCCTTCTCTTCTTCTTCTTCTTCTTCTTCTTCTTCTTCTTCTTCTTCTTCTTCTTTCTCTCTCTCTCTCTCTCTCTCTCTCTCTCTCTCTCTCTCTCTCTCTCTCTCTCTCTCTCCCTCTCCCTCTCCCTCTCCCTCTCCCTCTCCCTCTCCATCTCTAGAATCAATGAAAACACACACACACACACACAAAACAACACCATATCCTCAGGTGAGGATTTTAAAAAAGAAATATTGGAAGGAAATCTAGGCTTACATTAGACAATTTTATCCTGAACATTAGAGGATCTATGGCTTTTAACTAAGCAAATCAAGTTAGAAATATTGAAAAAGTTGCAGAGAAAAATTCTATCAGGATATTTTCTTGCCCTAGTAAGATTGACCTTTACCACTATGGGAATGATTGTGAATTAATACCAAAGTATTTTTAAGCTAAATAGAAACATTCCTTTTCCAATCCATTCTAATTTGCATCCAAGCCTTAGCTCAAGTTATCTACTCCTACAATGTCCTTTCCCTCATCTTCAACTTTCTAAATCTTAGGCTTTCTATTCTCTGCATGAAATTTTCCTAGTTCATTTTCCTCTTCAGCCACAAATATCATTTTTCTTTTGTGCTTCTATACCTTAGAACAATGAATATATCCTGCCTTATAAGCAGGGACTATCATGTTTTATTATGTACTTTGCCAGCCTAACATAGCAGGTGTTTGATAAATGGCAGTTGAGTGCTGAAAATCAGCAGAAATGGCTTTATGATAAAATATATTCTGAAAAGAGTACCAGCTAGATAAATGTAATGCTCATTTCCTGGTAGTTTAGGAGTTCTCTGCCTTTTACCACATAGAGGTTCTTCTCATTCTATACTACACATTTACGTTCATACCTCAAGTTTTAGCTACCTTACTGTGTCCTTTCAAAAAATTTTAAAGTCAGAAACCTATGGATGGGGTATGAATAGTTGGAAGACCGGTGAAATTTTAATATTCCTTTTTGAGGCTTTGTTAGTGATCTAACATCACCTAATGCTTTCTGAATATAGTTTGTTTTCTGTTGGCCTTTATTTGTGTGTCTGAGGAGATTGACTATAGTAGAAAGAAAAGTCCTTACATTAAAAAAAACTTTTCAAGAAATAACATTACCATAGTATAAAAACAAATGTATTGAGTATCAGCTGCAGTTCTTTTTAAAATAAATATATTTTTATTGACTTAAGAGAGGAAGAGAAGAGAGAGAGAAAAAAACATCAATGAGAGAGAATCATCAATCGGCTGTTTCCTGCAAGCCCCTTACTGGGGATAGAGCCCACAACCCTGGCATGTGCCCTGACCAGGAATAGAACCGTGACCTCTTGGTTCATAGTTCGATGCTCAACCAATGAGCCACACTGGCCAGGCTCGGCTGCAATTCTTTAAAGTGAGTCTATAAAGAAAATGGTGTGCTTCTGACTTCTTGCTGGAGTGATCTTATTGAGTGGAAGAGCTTTTCTTAGAAACTTGGATAATTTTATTAGAGACTAAATTACACCAAAAAAAGGTTTAAGAAATCCAAGAAGGCAAAGAAAATTGTGGATCAAATATGCAGCAATTGCTTTCATTGTTATCATAATGTGATTTAAAAAAAAATTAGGTGCCCCAAGCTTTTATCTAAAATTTATAGGACATGTTTTTCCAGAATCTAGGTATAAATTATTCTTAACTGTTAGTCAAAAGTCAGGAATTTAACCAGCAATTAAATAATGGTTCCTATGGCAAAGCAGTTTCCCCATATATTAATTTACTTTATAACCTGTTTTCTAGGAATATATTTTGACACCTAAGGCACATGAAGAAAGGATTGAGATTGGAAGCTACAGACATTGTCTGTTCTGAGCAGAGTTTCTGACAATAGACCACTGTAGCAAAGGGCAATAAATGCCACTGAGAATATCCCTCAACACAAATCTGTAAGTATCTTTTGGGAATTACAGGGGGATTAGAAAATTGTCTCTGCTGACTTGATAGAAAAAAAAAATGTCTTCATTTTGTAATTTGTGGTCTGTATGCTTGTAAATTAAGATACACTGAGTTGTCAAGTAGAGGACTGGTTTGTGGGTGAGAATTTAAGTCAAAACACAATGCAATAACTTGAAACCTTTGTCTTAAAACCTTAGATAAAAGGTTACATGAATTTGGATAACTACATTATTAAGTTATTGGACCTTTGCCTGGAAAACCAATTAGAGGATTTTAGTCTTGATATGGCATAAAGTTAGCATAACCCAGCATCTTGAAATAACAGTGGAAGTTGACAAAGTAATGGAATTTTTGGAAATCAAATGTGGCAGTACTATATATAGAAGGATTCTAAGAAATAAAGTCTAGTGGTAAGGAAGCTGGGCATGTGACTATTTTAGTAATCTAGGAGTGAAGAAATCCCGGACAGAATAGTGGCAATGAGAATGGAGATGAAAGAATAAAAGATATTTCAAAAGGAAAAAGTATAGAACATCACAATGAGTTGGATAAAAGGGTGGTGTCAAAAAATAAATGTTTTGTACTAGACAATCATGGTATCATTGAAAGTGGACTGTTGAGAAGCTGGTTTGAGAAGATGCTGAGTCCCATTTTTGTCATACTGAATTTAAGACAATATGCAGGAATTTCATTTGAAATGCTTCGATTAAAGGTTGTGAATATATAGAACGAGAATTCTATGTAAAAGTCATTCTGGAGAGGTAAATTTGTCAGTATCCTCATAAAGCTGATAAGGGTGGACAAGCTATCTGAAGCTCTTTGTTATGGACAAGACCCCTTTCTTTAAAAAGAAATATGTAGAGCTGGTTTGGCTCAGTGGATAGAGCATTGGCCTGCGGACTGAAGGGTCCCAGATTTGGATCCGGTCAAGGGCCCATGCCCGGGTTGCAGGCTTGATCCCAGTAGTGGGTGTGCAGGAGGCAGCTGATCAGTGACTCTCTCTCATCATTGATGTTTCTATCTCTCCCTCTCCCGTTCTCTCTGAAATCAATAAAAATATATTTAAAAAATAATAAATTAAATATGTAAACACATGTTTATGTAAATAAATTATTTGACTAAGTATGTAATCTTAAATAAACATTTCCAAAATTGAATTAAAATTCTTCATTTTTTTCTTGGAGTGTCATATCTCAAGCTTTTTATGCCTGTAAGAAAATCAGTTATGAGGGTCAATGACTAAAATGTGTTCATATTCTTGAGCCTTAACCTCTACTTCCATTAATAAAACAAAGATCTTTCCCAGTATTAGATTGAAGGAACGAAATTGAGAATTTAAAATCCAAATAATTCAATCAATTAAAACTTTGTAAAATTGACATGGCTTTAATTTAGCAAATGGAAAGGCAAATAATTGAATTGTGGGAAATGTGCTGGTCTCTAGTTTCAAGAAACAGTACAGCACAAAGAACTGGCATTCTGGCTGAAGAAGTGTAATAATAAACAGAAATTTGAAAACCAGGAAGACAGGTTTTTCAAGAGTACAACTGTAGCATTTCAAAGGTGGTATAACAAGAAATTCCAGAGTTGGCCAAAAATGGTTTAGATAATTGAGATTCCTTATTTGAATACTTGTTTTTGATGGAGAAACATGTTAAGAGGAAATGAAGGTTCTAAAAGATCTGGAACTTTTCCTCCTCCTTACCCTAAATTGGGCTTGCTTCCGAAGAAAAGGCTTAGCCAAAAATAATCAAATAGGAACTCAGTACTGCTTAAATTGTAGGCAGGTGTTTAAAAAGTTACCAAAGGGAAAACAATTTTAAAAATTGTTTAATTAATTAAAAGCAAATATTTTGGTTTTCTAGAAACTAAACATTGTTTTGTATAATTCCTATTTACCTAGTGATTACCTGTCTGTAAAGTAGCCACGTCGTTAGACAGAAATACCATATTATTCTACATCTTTAGTTGATTTTTTTATGTTCTATTTTAATGAAATGTAAGGAAAACTAAAATGTTCATCTGTGCTTCCAAACAACCTTTAAAAAACTCAGTAATATGTCTTCTGGGCATATACCAGGAGCTTTAGACTAATTCACTTCTATCCTTGAACCATTTGATTAATCCAAGTTCAGTGAACTTCCAGTCAGGTTATCCAGAAATGGAAACTTACACCCCCCCCCCCCCCCCGTATTTCTATTCTAGTTACATCTAATTTACATGTCTGATCTGCTGACTTCTGTCTTTTCATGACTAAATTATGGAGGTAAGTAAAGATTTAATATCGATCATAGTCATGTAACCTTCATTCTGAACTTATATTCCTTTAATGTTTTTTAAATTACTAAGCACTCTTGTAGCATTGTATTTTTTATTAGCAAGTTATGTATATTCGTTTTAGGTGGGCTGTTGTACTGATTAGATGTATACTTTTGTGTAACTTTCAACTAGTTAGTATTTCTATATACATCAATATATTCATCTCATTTTGTAATCACCCAAGAAAACACCTAATAGAAAAATGCTGGGTAGTCTTTACTTGAACCAAGTCTTTCAGACATTTTACATAAAGTATCCTCATCCATCTTTGAATCTACTATAATTCTTGTTTTTCTAAGTGCCTGTTCACTGATAATGTAGCATTCCGAATTTTTCAGTTCAGTTCAGTTTGGACTGTTGGATGTCCAGCACTGTGGGGAAAATAAAGCAGTCCCAATCCTCATCTTAAAAGAATTTGTGGAACCTCAGACATTGCAGCCAGAATTTCTCAGGGTCTCTTTTTACAAGAAGGGTAAGACAAACCTATCCTGTTTGGCTTCCATCTTGGGAACCCAGAGATATTCCAAATTCTTACCAGAGTGTGAAAATGGAGAATAACATGATATAGAAACACTGAATATTTGGTATGTTTAACTCAACTGAGAGGAAAAAGCCTCTTTAAAGTAATGTTTTCTAGTTTTGAGGTACTGATATGAAATCTGCAGCTGCAGAATGCTGCCTACCTGAAAGCTCTCTCTGGTTAGATAAGACTTAGGCACATTTTAGCTTTGGGAACATAGTCTTATTTATTTTGCTGCATGTTATTGCTTTTTTGTTCTATGTCATGCTTACTACTCATTTCCCATGTAAGGTGTTAGCTTTTTATCCATTTAAAGACATGTGGTTGGATCTATCTCATAGTTTAGATAAATACTAAGGCATTTTCTAAGCTTAATAATTATGAGATGCTGAGTTTTTTGGCAAAATTTGTACAGAACTTTTCTTCTCTAGGAGGTCCACTAGAAGGCCAAATAATTCTTTAGGTGTAGTTCTGTGGCAAAGCTGGTAATTATGTTTTGTTTAAAACACTAAGTTTGATGTCACATTATTCTCTCTGATGGCTTCTTTGGCTCCAGAAAGGTAATAAAAATTCCTAAATTAAAAAAATAATTTCCTTAGTGGCTCTACATTGCTAAACTTGCTGTTACAGAATGAACTTCCCCAACACAGGAAAAATAACAGTAGCATATGGGAGATTTAGAGGGCTCTTACCAAGTCATTTATCATCCCCCAGCAAGGTCTCTGGTGATGTGACCATTTCTATTATTTATGATAGAGAATCAATACAAAAGCTTACAAAGCGAAGCTGAAGTTTGTCAGATGAAAACAGTATACAAGACAAATTAGAAACAGCAATTATTCCCTAAACCATGTATTTCTCAAGTTGCTTTCCCTTGACCATTTTATATTATTTTTGGCTCCTGATTTTAGATATATTTTCAAAGCAGCTCAAATTAATTCTGAACTCTTTCTAATTATGACATATATTAAATCCAAGAGTAAAATTCAACACTAGAGCTTCTTTTCAGAAAATCTCTGTAGGGAGAACTTCCAATTGCTTATAAGGTAAATTAAGGAGATTCAAGAATAAGCTAAAATCTTTAGTGCCTTATCAGAAATGAAACTGGGTGATGGAAAAAAGCTGAAACAAAAGAGAAGTGGGATAATAAGGGAGGCCCGACTATTGATGGTACAGTTAAGACTGACAAACATTAACATGTCATTGTGATGAGTCATACTTGTGTATATGAGATGGATTGATATGTGTATATGATTTTTAAAAAAAATATATTTTATTGATTTTTTACAGAGAGGAAGGGAGAGGGATAGAGAGTTAGAAACATCGATGAGAGAGAGACATCGATCAGCTGCCTCCAGCACACCCCCTACTGGGAATATGCCCGCAACCCAGGTACATGCCCTTGACCAGAATCGAATCTGGGATTCTTGAGTCCGCAGGCCTACGCTCTATCCACTGGGCCAAACCGGTTAGGGCATGTGTATATGATTTGATGAACAAAGTTTTCAGCATGGTTTGCCAAGACAAATTTCTGCCATTATTTTCTTATAATTGAAAAGAAAATTGACAAATCATTTCATTCAAGAAGTTAAGAGTTAAGTGGTGCCCATATGAAAATGTTAGTCTTTTTTTTCCTAAGGCAAGCAAGTTTTTAATTTGCCTGTGGTGCATCTAAACATATCACTATTTCCTTCTAACTACATTTGCCTGCCTCCCTTTCTTAAAAAAGACTCAATTTTTTGCATGTCTTCACATCCCAATCACAGAGTCCCACTCTATTTTGGAGTGAACACCAGAGGCTTACTGAAGTGATCTTGACAGATGTGTCTCCAGATATGATATCTCTAAAATATTTACTAAAATAAGAAATTCAATCCACTCTCAAAGTCACTTCTCTATAATGAACATTTTTTTAAGTGTAGCAGTCTGTCTCCTAAAAAATCTCTACATTGTGAACTCATGACTTTTAGACACTATTTAATAAAAGACAAATTATTTTAATTTAAACCCATTGTCAATGTTATGAGTTATATTTATAGTAAGCTCCAGAAGGGAGGGCATTGTTTTGTTCCTTGCAGTATCTCCAATGTCCAGAATAGTATTTGGCACATAGCAGAAGCCAATAAATATTTATTGAATGAATTAATAAATGTTATGTATATTATATGTTTCCACAGGTAATATGTTTCTATTAGTGCATTAATAAGAACATTTCTCATCAAACTAGTTTTCTGCAAATGTGAATGACAAACTTATTAATACAGTTTAAATATTTCCTGTTACAATATTTTTTGTTTCAGTATTTTAACCAGTTATCAGTTTTTAATAATCTTACTAGCAAAACACTATAGAGAATTAAATAGTGTTACATATATAACCATTTCAACTATACTCAACTAGTTAAATCATATACATGCCAAAAACTTAACAGAATAGAAATATTGTGCCCTAGAATATGATGCTAGCAAGGGAACCAGACCAAACACATCATCCCCAAAACTAAGATGACGCACTAAAACAACTAAGTTGGCTTTTCTGCAGAAAAGAGAATGCCACCAAAATCAAAACACTTGGTTCATAAAGCTTTTTTTCTTATTTGGGTCATTGTTTTCAGTTGCTAACCTTAACATTACTAGTCTTAAAGTATTTTGCACTTTTATAATAGACATAATCTTTTCAGATACTGTTGGGAAATTTTTTTAAAAAATTATTTCTTCCCTACAACCTAGTACACAAATCTGTAAGTAATTACTAGAAATGTCTGGAATACATTTTTTTTTTTTTACTAAGTGGAGGAGTTTCACAGGAAGGATGGTAAAATTTGTGTCAATGGAAGTTAATGGGCCATAATATGCCATAAGAGTCCCCCTTACTCTGCATACTGTCTTTCAGGTATGGCTCTTCCTTTTTTTAAAATAGCTAATACTTTTACATGGTCTGGTGAAAAAAAAAGCCTTTCTCCCATGCCTAAACCCCACTCACCCAGTTCCCTCTCCACAGGTGACCTGGATCTTTGCTGACAATTTCATGGATATATAAGAAAACGAGTATATTTTTTCACAAATGGAAACTATAAAGTGGAAATATATCTTTTTCAACATTATACATTGTTCTGCACATTTTCCCCTTATAAATATTTGACAATCCTTCCTTATCAGTTTATGAACTGCTGCCCTATTCTTTTTAAGAGTTGCATAGAATTTCATTGTATGAACCATAATTTACCCATTCCCTATTGATGAACTTTGAGTGTATTTCTAATCTTTTGCTGTTATGATGATTATCAGTTGAATGTGATCTCCTTGAGAATAATAATTTCTTTCTTACTCATTTTTTTAATCCTGAAAACTTAGTATAGTGTCCAACAAATGTTTAACAGATGTTTTTGAATGAGTTAATTATACTTTTTAAAATGGTGCTCAACTGCTTCCACTCTATGGTTTTTTAATCCTACTATGTACAAAGTACTTGGTGCTCTTTGACTTAATGATTCCTCTTCTAAATGTTTTTCCTATTTAAAATGACACATATGTAAGAATTCCTACAAGAGGAATCACTAAGTCAAAGTATATGTGTATTTAAATCAGTTCTCAACCTTCTGGCCCTTTAAATACAGTTCCTCATGTTGTGACCCAACCATAAAATTATTTTCGTTGCTACTTCATAACTGTAATGTTGCTACTGTTATGAATCATAATGTAAATATCTGATATGCAGGATGGTCTTAGGCGACCCCTGTGAAAGGGTCGTTAGACCGCCAAAGGGTTCGCGACCCACAGGTTGAGAACCGCTGATTTAAATGTTAGTCGAAGTTATTCATAAAGGTCTTGATCAAATGTAGATGCTAATTAGTAACATATATTATTCTTCTCACTAAATATTTAGGACAGTACTTTACACATAGTAATGTTAACACTATTGAGTAGATGAAGCTCATATTCAAGTGAGAAAAAATTGTTTTTATAATGGCATGTAAGTCCATACAGAGGAAAGGGAGCCATCTTCATCATCATCATCATCACTATTAGTTACTGAGTGCTTACCATATACCAGGAAATGTGTTGAGTATATTATCTCCTTTAATTCTCATATATACTATAAAATATATATATTTTTTTATCCCCATTTGATAGATGAAGAAGTTGAGGCACAAAAAGGTTAAATGACTTGCCCAAGTCATCTAGCTAGTAAGTGATTAAGCTGGGATTAGAAATCAATCAGCATGATTACAGAATCCGTTCTTGAAAGCCATATAAATGTTCATGAAAAAGAGAAATGGAAAGAGGCATTGAAGGTAGAAGGAATATGTGGCAAAGCACCAAGTGCACAGTGTTGTTCAGAAAGCAGCAAGCAGTTAGAGTGGCTTAAACATTGTTGAGGTGTGGTTGCCCAGAGATGGCATGGCAAGAGACAAGAAAATGGCAATTTCCCTTTACTCTAAAAAAGAACAAAAAACTCATTTCTTTTTCTGAGATTGCCCTGGCATGATGGCAGCCTCCGGTTTCACAGTTTTGTTCATGGCGAGAGCTTCGGGCCTTTTTATCCTTTCAAAACTATAGCATTCAGTTTTGTCTTCAGAGGATACTGTTCTATTACCAACCAGATGGAAGCCTTCCATTAATAAAGTGTCAATGAGTAAGCCGAGAACATTAGTTCCATTGGCCAATTTTCGACTATCAGGTTTTATAGAAACATACCTAGAACAAAAAAAAACACACACACTTAATTATAAAGCATCCCTTAAATAACTAGCAAAACTGAACACATAAATTTGACTTATAACCACTCATAAATGCATCATACCCATTTTCATCAGATTTTGTTTTGACACTTCATTTATAAATCCACATCAGTAATTTCAGGGTACTGAAAATAGATATCTTACTATGATTTCCAAAGTCATTTTAATTCTACACTTAGGAATGTAACTGGCACTGATGGATTTTCGTTGAGAAACTATTTTCTGGAGCAAACAATTTGGTCAAACAATTACATTTACTAAACACTGCTTTAATTAAATAATTTAATTAATTGATTTAGTCATTTTAATGAACATTATACATTTATAATTTTCCCCCTAGATTTAATTTACCAGCACTGATATTACACATTTTCAGCACTGATATTACACATTTTCTTTTATGACTTATTCTTATCAAACACATTTTCTCCAGGTAAATTTTGCAGATATAAAATATCAAGAAGAATTTATTGTCAAGTTTTACTCAATAACTGTCTAAATATTGCAAAGCAAAACATGGGGTCAAAAAGCCTCTGCCTATTTCCTGGGAAACTTGATAGAACCAATCTAAATAATTATAGAAAAATGAATCTGAACTTTTCAGATTGGTTATATGTTGGCTTTAATAATGTCACTATAACATATTCAATAGATATAGCTGTATTACTCCTTCTTTATTTACCATCAAGGATATTTTTATGTCTTTGTGTCCTCCCACCATTTGTTTATGAGATAGGAAGAAGAGGCCAACTTAAATTAGTTCTAGGCTGCAACCTAAACTATCTGCAGTTTTATGGGATAAAAAGAGCCTTGGGGGCATCCCTAGCCTTTTAATTATGACTGAAATAGAGTGGCTTATTGTAGTTCACATTCTAAAGCTCATTCTAGGCGAAGAAAGCAATTCAAAAAATGTAAGAATTGTAAAACCACAAAGTACATATCAAAAAAATGTTTATTGCCCTGGCCAGTGTGGCTCAGGGATTAGAGTGTCAGGCCATGAACTGAAGGGTCGCAGGTTCCATTCCTGGACAATGGCATGTACCTGGGTTGCAGGTTCGATCCTCGGCCCCGGTCCTGGTAGAGATGCATATGGGAAGCAGCCAATAGATGTGTGTCTTTCACATCAATATTTCTCTCTCTCTCCCTCTCCCTTCCTTCCACTCTCTCTGCAAAAGCAATTTAAGAAATATCCTCAGGTGAGGATTTTTTTAAAAATGTTTATTATGTCTGATATAATAAATTTTTAACCTTAGTAAATCATTCCATCTACCCACAAGTCCCAGATCTTAATTATATAGTGTAGGAACATTTTTCAATGAGAAAAACAGTTATAGAGCATCTCACAAAATAAAGATCCAAATAGTATACTATAGGTTATAACAAAGTGGAATGCACTTGCAAGAAATCACTGAGCCAAAGTACTTAATTCCCTCTGAAGCCAGATTGAGAAATGACAGATTCACAGCACCAGAAAAGGATAGAAGAAGCCAATGAGAAACAGAAAACAAAATGTATTTTAAAAACTCAAAAGGCAGTTACACTTTTCCATTTGACCCAGTTTAAAAAAGGAAAAGTGAGATAGAATAAAAGGCTACTGGGATTCTATGGTCTAGCATCCTATGACCATAACTTGAGCTTGATAATGTTACCACATCTGCAAGATGCAAGCCAAGTATTTCTAGTACTGTGAACTTGAGAGATAATAACTGAGCAAGCTGTTAGGTTAACAAAACTTAGAGTAGTAAGTTACATTAGTGGAACATACCAAACAACTGGATGACACACCAGACTCCTAGAAGCCAGTCAGGCTTATTCTCCACTTTCCACCTTCAAAAAGCAACTGAGTGGACAGATTCAGAACAGGGAGAGAGCAAGAAATAAAAATGATTGCCAGCGAGGCAGTCATCTAAGGTGGATCTTTTAAGCCTGGAGGCTTCATCTAGTCATCTGAAATCCCAATAATGTCACCTTATTCAGGTTATCTGTCTCGACTTTGAAAACGGCACTATAAAGTAAAAATAAATAAAATCAAACATTCTGGGATAGAAAAAATTCTGAACTTCAATTGAAAAGAATACTATTTGGGGATGAAAAAAAAGCTTTCAACTTTTAAAACTAGGTGCTGTTTTGGGAATTATCTATTTTGGAAGTTTAATGCCATTCTCATATTAAGATGAAACCATTTTGTAATATTTCTAAAACACAAACACTTTAATAACAAAGGGAAAACCACTTGATACTGTGTACATGCAAGGATATCCCAACCTGAGTTTCTAATCTTGTTTTTCAAGATTACAATTATTTTCTCCAACTGCATAGTTTTTAAAGAGCATTTAAGTATTTCCAGGATATCATTTTTTACCTTGCATGTTTCTTCTTAAAACCAATAACACCATTTTTTCTTAGGTTTCCTTAGGATCCCTTTTACAAAAGGGATACTCAAAGATCTTAATCACTCATATTTTAAAAACCAAAAAACTGGTCATTTCCTCTCTATTTATGTTAGTGCCCCACCAACGAAAAGAATATTGTGCATGGAGTTATCTTAAAACCATTTGAGATGAGAGGGTCTTACTTTTATTCACAGTCAGCCTATTAATTTAACTGGCTCTCTTCTCCCAAAATGACATTTCAACCTCTTTGCAAGGGCAGGAATTATGAAGTATAATAAGTTAAGAATTATACTGCTCAGTGTTCCCCAGTTGCAAGACCGAGGGGTGTCTTGTGGATGGGCAAGCATTGGTAGTTCCTGATGGCTGCTGCTGAAGTTAAGAAAATGTCCCCAAATATGCCTACCGTTATGTCCCAAAAAAGTAATTTTATGTTAGAGTCCTGATGCACAAAATTCGTGCACAGGGTGGGGGGGCGGGGGAAGGGGTGGTCCCTCAGCCCGGCCTACACCCTCTCGCAATCTGGGACCCCTTGAACTTCCCTCTCGCAATCTGGAACCACTGGCTCCTAACCACTATCCTGCCTGCCTGCCTGCCTGATCGCCCCTAACTGCTCGCTTGCCTGCCTGCCTGATCGCCATTAACCGCCTCTGCCTTGGCCCCTGCTGCTGCAGCTTTGTCTGGAAGGTCAACCGGCTATCTGGTCTAATTAGCATATTATGTTTTTATTATTATATATAGTACACATAAAAAAAATATGGAGACTTTTTCTTCCTCCTGAAAATCGAAGCCAATTTTCACAGCTAGTAAAATAATGGTGGGACAATATTAAGATAATTTTAAGGGGGAAAAAGATACTGACAGCAGAGTGGAAATTAGCCATAGGGTCCAGTCAAGAACAGTAGGGGGATAAAGTAATTGACTCAGGAGCAACTATCCTTAACATACTGATGGCCTATACCAATAGTTTGAGTTGTCTAAGAGTGCCAAAGATGTAAGGATACCAGATTTGCCATGGATTATCTGCCTTAATGGTGTTTAAAAATAAAGTAGAATGGAGAAAAATCAGTAGTCAAATCATAAGGCCTGAAAAAGCAAACATACATAAAGTATGAGGAGATCAGGATAAACGATTGAGCCTTCACTATATGCCAGCCATTAGGGGTTAAAAAAAAAAGTTTTATTCCTAAGCCAAATTTATTAGCAATGGAACATTTTCTATAAAATTATTTCTTCCTACAACTTTAGTGACCACAGTCCCAGTTTTCCCTGGACAGTCTTGGTTTATTCCTATTGTCCCACATAATAACAAAACCCTCTTTCACTCTGAAAAGTACCCCAGTTTGGACAATAATTATCTGGTCATTCTGCCCAACTCTACTGGCTACCCCAAAACACTGAGTCATAATTTATTCTAAGAAAAGTTGTAGGCATGAGAAACTTTCCGTTTTGAGGGGAAACATCAGGAACTGATATAGAAGAGAGATGCTTCAAAGTACAAAATACCTGACTCCAGTTTGGTTATCAGTAACGCTGTCCGAGCCACACTGGAAAACCAGGTCGTGGTAAGAAGGTCTTTGTGGAGGCAGTGGAAGTAAGGTCATCTGAGGAGGGCAGCAGTTACTACTCCAGGTTGGTGCTGAAGGTTGCTCTATAAACACTGTAATCCTCCCAGTTAACATCTCAATTGTTTTGCTGCAAGAGCCAAACACCCTGAAAAAAGCTTGAGTGTTTCGGCTTAGGAAATACACCTGCACAAGAGCAGGTCTTGGCTGTAGCAGGAGTTCTTGGTTTAAGAGATCAACCAGAGGATCAAGTTCATAGAAAAGAGCCTCTCTCTGAAGCCTAAGATAGTCTGAAAAATCAGTGGGTAATATAAGCTGTTGAGTTCTCAAAAAATCTAAGATGAAACTAAATAAAACACCATCTCTGTCGACAAAAATCTGGCCACCATCCATCTTAAATTCTTGGTCTCTGCCATCTAACATTCGTGTTAGCCGAGAGGTAGGAAACTGCTTTATGGTAGAAAATCTTGTTGTGAATATCTTCCCTCCCACATTCAGAGTGACCAGTTTCTGACCACTCATTCTTCCCTTGCCTCAGATTAGAGGCTACAAATCTTCCGCCACAAACTTAAGAACTTGTAAATCAAACTATACCCATAAATGTTGCTAGTTATATATAATTAAGTGGAGAGAGGAGAAAATAACAAAAAAAATAAAGACCTAGATTTCCAGGTAACTACTGTAAAGCAAATAGTGTATCCATAGTTGTGTTTGCAAATTTGAGTTGCTTGGGAACTTACAGTACACAAAATAAAAAAAGCAACAGATGAGAAACTAGACAGTTTAAGAAAAACTGACAATATATAAGGATAGGTGTCAAATAGATCCCTTTCCTGTATTCCATAAAAAATTCTCCATGAAAAGCTACTGTAAATCTCTATTTAAAAAAAAATACTGGGAGCAGAAAAGTCCTCCTCCTCCCCAGACCACTTATCCACTGAATCCTCATGGCAGTGGTTAAGATTTAGAGAAAATTGTCATTTCTTATGATCCCTTTAGCAATTTCAATCACAAATTGTCAGTTAAGGATGAGACAGCCATTACCTCAACTAGCAGGTTAACTTGACTCTTCTCATAACTACAATGATTCTTTTGTACTTTAAATTGCATTGCCATCTTTTTTTTTCCTATTTCCCTTGTATTATCTCTTCTCAACCAAATTAAAGGACTGGGGTAAAGACACTCTGGGCTTTCAAAGAAATGTCTTGATCTATGACAGATGTAAGTTATACCGGAGAGCAGTTCTAAGATAAGCTCACTCTTGTTTTCCTTGAATTCTAAACAAGGAAATTAAGTATTCTTTGGGAGATAGGGTATCTTTACCTCATGTGAACAGATAGGACAGCATTAATGTTTAATGATTACTTTGTACTTTATAGTAGCTGACAGATTGTTTTCTCTATTGTCAAAAGTCTTACTACTCTTAAATTCTTCAAGCAAGTGGTTTGCTTGGTTGTACGGTTGCCAGGATACTTTGGGACAACCCACACTTAGCTGTCAGTAAAAGGAGGCTTTCCCATTTCCTGCTTTTACCATGTTACTTTTTTTAACCTATGCTTTCATTTGCACAGCCACCTAACACTTCTGTAGTTTATTACCAAACCCCTTTAGTGATAAATTTATAAAACCTAAGGAGAAAAAGGCAAGCTAAAATCTCCACCCTCTTAAAAATGTACACTTATCACAAGAAAATGCCACTTTTTATTTGCACTTTATATGATTTACACTTTAGCAAAAAAGAAAATCTACCCTTGGCAGAAAAATCTGGAAATCCAATCCACCCGTTTTCTAAAAAAAAAAAAAAAAAAAAAAAAAAGTTGCTTTACAAGAGTAGTCTTTATTAGATTCAATCACTATTACATTACCTCATCAATACAATATTACATCATGTGCTCTCTCACCTCCCCTTTTTACATAGCATAAACACAATATTGGGGAGTATGATACTTATTTCAAAAGCACTCTTTAAAAAAGGAGGGTTCAGGACTATACAGTTAAATTTCACTTTTATCTTTATACTACCTAATTTGAAAGGCATATGTAAGATATTACTTTTGAAGGAAAGTATCTGACTGGAATCTTTGACCAAATCTGAACTACCACTCTGTTCTCTAACAAATGTCTAACAAAAAAAGAGAACTATGCACTTAAAATAGATTTTATAATAGTTTATATTTGCACATAAATTCTGCCACATTATTCAGGACCACCAAAGTAAAATTCTTGAATCTTTCACTGAAAATGAAAAACCCATCTGTCACCTGTTCCCAGTAAAAAACTGATTGTTCTACAAAATCAGGCGATTTAGTCAGATAGGAACTGAAGTGTGAAAGATGGTCTTTCCAGGTTGAGAACTCATCAAATAAAGACCTTTCTAAGAATATAGTAGGACCAAAGAAAATGAGAAGGCCAAGCAGAATGACTACTACAAACTTATAAAAGCTCCAGGGAATCTTGCCAATGAGTATGCCAGTGTCTTGAGGCAAAGAAAGTTTATCCACATCTACTAGTTTTATGTCTTCCCACTGACTGGTATCAAAGTTCTTCATTAAAGGGCTTGTGGGCAAATTAGAGGGAGGTAAAGGAGTTTCCTTGATTACTTTTATTTTTTCCCTGAATTCCTGCATCTGTTGCAGAAATATGATTGGTTCTGACACGTCTTTGAAGGCCTCAGCAATGTTAAAGGCCATTCGCTGTTCCTGTAAGATGGTGTTGAGTTTGTTAATCTCTGGGTCATAGGCTTGCATAACTGCAAGTTTCATGGTCTCAAAGTCAGAAAGGATTTCATTCTTCTTTTGATCTAATGTGTGTTGTAACTTCTCAAAAAATTCCTTCACTTTATCTGAATCTTTAGTCAGTAACTGTAGAGATTTCCTTTTGTTAGTTTCCAAGGTATCCAAACGAGAAAGAGCATCTCCCCGACGCCAGGTCTGAAAGCTCTGAAAGAGGGACTCAAAGGCATCCCTTTCCTGAGCATAGGCGTCTTCAATAGAACAGAAGACATGTTTGGTGTGGTCACCACGTGTAGCACAGATTCCACAAATCAGCTGCATATCAGTCAGGCAGAAAATGTTGAGAGGCTGCCCCAAGTGTCCTTTGCACACTGGCATTTTTGGAGAGATCTTGATCTTGTTATACTTCTCCACAATACCCTTCAGGGAGTAATTAACCTGCAGGCTATTGACTCCAGAGGCTGAAGTTTCCTTACGGCATGTGGGGCACTTGAATGGAGATGACCTCCACAATGAGTTCCGCCCAGTCCCCTCTAAGATCCCTTCTAAGCATTTTTTGCAAAAGTTGTGAGAGCAAGGCAAAACTCGAGGATCATCAAACAGACTGCAACAGATTGGGCACGTAAGATCTTCTTCAAGCAGCTCCATCACATCCTACCATAGAGAAATAAACATTTTATTTCATTCCAGTAACCTCCTCCACTTGCACTATATAATAATTATAAGAAACTATATTCATATATATTAAAAATAACCTTTCACTAAAATAACAGGGCAAACAAAGGAAATAAGTAAGAAATCTGGGAAGGGAATGCACACCAAAGCAGATTTAATCTGCTGGGACTAGAACACACTCCTTATTAGCAGGGCTCCCTGTACACAAGGCCTTTGTGTGGGCTTTCCAACAAGTCTTTGGCTGACAGGGTTAGGACTAGGACAACTGCAAGTTGAGCCAGCAGCATCCAAGTGATTGTTTTAAAACAGAGAGCTGACTACTGCTGTCAGAAACAAAGCTACTCAGTGTCTGAATAGAATGAGTTCTTTAGTCTGGGCCCACAATTATAAAATGTGCTATTTAAAAGAAAGCAGCACAGAAATAGAAAGCCAAGCATGTATTCTCATGCATACTTTTATTTTAAAATGGCATTTTTGCCTGGCCAGTGTGCTCAGTGGTTGAACATCAACCTATGAACCAGGAGGTCAAGGTTTGATTTCTGGTCAGGCCACATGCCCGGGCTGTGGGCTCGATCCCCAGTACAGGAGGCAGCTAATCAATGATTCTCTCATTGTTGATGTTTTTATCTCTCTCCCGCTCCCTTCCTCTCTGAAATCAATAAAAAATATAAATAAATATGGCATTTTTTCCTATTTCAAAGGCAAAATTACAATTATTAAAATGATAGGTAAAGACATAAAATGAGAGAGTTGTAATTCATTCTTCCTTAGATAATTAAATGCATTTTTTAAAATAGCAGAGCAGTAATCAAAGCCATCTTGTAGCATTAGTTTTCCAAATGTGGTGGACAGAAACCTGGGTATCACTAAGACTCTTTCAGGGCATCCAGGAGGTCAATACGGTTTTCATAATAATACTGAGATGTTACTTGCTTTTGGCACCATGTTAACCACTGCACTGTAAAAGCAATGGTGAGGCTGCTGGAAACTTAGCAGGAATCAAGCACGGCAACACATAGTACCGAACTGTGTTGTTGAGTCTGTATTCCTCTCACCACCACATCAAACTGAGGATAGCCAGTTTCATTTAAGAATGTTCTTGATGAAGCAGTAACAAGTATTCATTTTATTAAGTCTTGATCCTTTAATGATAAAATAGGAAGTAAACACACAGCACTTCTGCCACATACCAGCAGACAATTGCCTGGAGGAAAAACGCTTATGTGACTGAGTTGCAAGCTGAAACGAACCAACTGTTTTTGTCATGGAACACCATTGTTACTTGAGAGAACAAGTAAAAAAATTATGGCCATTTCGATTTAGGTATCTGGCAGAGATTTTTCTTGAAAATGAATAAAATGAGCCTATCACTTCAAGAGAAAAAACAGTATTTCTTCCCAATGATAAAAGTTGAGTTTTGGGGTGAAAACTAGACCTTTGGAAAACATTGTCATTTAAGAGCTTGATAACTTCCCTAAATTAAAGACTTTTAGTGAGAGAAGTGGTGATAATAATAAATGTGGGGGTTTTTAGTGGGAAGATTACTATATGATAAAATATGTCAAGATTTGCACAACACAGTGAACGAACAAGTTCAATCATCAATGCATGTTACAAATTATGCATGGGTAAAAGAGCAAAAGACCAAATATGTTAAAAAATATGATTTCAGATTCCATACTGTAACTTAACCTTTAAGAAACTACTGCTTGTTGACTTATGGTACAGAAGCAAAGATCCCCAATTATCAGAAAAGGCTATTAAAATATTCCTCCCCTCACCACCTACATATCTGTGCAAGGCCAGATTTTATTTTCTTTGTTTATTTCAGCCAAAAGAACTTACTATAGCAGAGGCAGATAAAAGACTCTAGGTGTTTTCTATTAAACAGTAATTCACCCAAATGGTTCAATGGTTAAAGCTTAGGCCTGCACACCCGAGGGTCAAGGTTCAATTCCCAGTCAAGGGCACGTACCCTGGTTGCAGATTCCAGGTTTGATCCCTCCCCTCTGGTTGGAGTGCGTGTGGGAGGCAACCAATTGGTGTCTCTCTTACATCATTGTTTCTCTCTCTCTCCTCTCTCCCTTTCTCCCTCTTCCCCTCCCCCTCCCATCCACTCGCTCTAAAAATCAATGGAAAAAATATCCTTACTCTGGTAAGGATTAAAAAAATAAATAAATAATTCATTAAAGAGATCTATATGTAAACCAATGCCACTCTTCTCACAAATGTGTCTCAAAGAAGTTGTTTTTCACAAATTATTTATGTTAAGATGTAATAGGTTTATCTTGTTATTTAAATTACTATCTTAAAATTTTTCTGTTTTCATTTATAATAAATATCTACTGTACTGTACACATGTAAACAAAAGCTTCCCAATGAAAAGCTTATTTATTTTTATATGAACATTTTAAAACTTCTATCCTAAAATTTTTAAATAGTGCTATATATGTCCTCATTCAGTTCTAGTTAGGGATACACACACATATATATATATGTATAATGTTACAACCAAAGTAATAAAAAAAAAAGGGTCTAATATTCAGAAGGCCATCTTATAATAAAAAATAAGTAAGTAATTTTTTAACAGTAATTTTAAGAGTCGCAATTAGAGTTACAATCCAGAAGATAAATAGTATTTAAAAGATAAGCTGAGCTTGCAAGGCTAATTAGTTTAAAGTTTTATGTTAAGTTGTGAAAGATATACTAATATACTAGTATATAGAACTAAAGCAAAGATTATTCTGTCAAATTGAGTGTCATATGGCAAATGTGTGATGAACTGATTTTTCGGAAAACTCTTTTGTGAGACAAATCATACAACCTTTGAAAAGCACTGGGAAGAGAATAGCTATGAAGACTGGTGTGCTAGCTGAAAACACTGAGGGAAAACTTGAATATCCTCCGATCCTAGTCCTGGTTCCATACTTTATCACTTCTACTGTCATCTTTCACCTATGAATTCTATGTGAAGGCTAGATTTTGGAGTAGATAGTAGAAATAGGAAAGTAGCAGGGTTTACTTATCCTTGTAAGGTTAATATTTCCAGAGAATCCTATTCAAGCATATTAAATAAATAAGAAAGAGGAAAAAAAAGGATGCACAGTTGGGATGAGGAGGAGAAAAAGAGCAACCACGGCAAAGAGAAACTTTGAAGAAAACTGAGGATACTGCAACAGGAGCCAAAAAGAATTTTAAGGCAATTAAGTATGATCAAAAGTAAAAAGGAAAATGACACACAGAGGAAAATTTAGAAATAATAAAGTCATCTCAAAGCCATAATCAATTTACAACTCTTAAAATGAACCAGAGGAAAAAAATTACTATTTGCAAAGTCCCTTTTTTATAAATTGCATCAAAATTATGATAGATCCTATTGTTCCATTTTTAATAATATAGCATATTGGTTTATAATTTAAAGATTTTTATTTTCATTCACTTTAAATACTTTTACTTTCTCATCCCTTAGCTTTATACTCAAAACTGTCTCTATGACAAAACTATGTGACCACTTCCATAGCTGAGTTTTAGAGAAAATTGAGATATATTCTAATCCAAAAAACCATGGCAAGTTTACTGCCTCAAAAGTTTTAAATGAAGCCCTGTCCGGTATGGTTGTTGGTTGGAGGGTGGTGCCATACACCAAAGGGTGCATGAGGGAGGCAACCAATGGATGTTTCTCTTTCTCTCTCCCTCTCCCTCTCCCTCTCCCTCTCCCTCTCCCTCTCCCTCTCCTTCTCCCTCTCCCTCTCCCTCTCCCAACTTTCCCTCCCCCCTTCCTCTCTGAGTAAAAACTAAAAGTTTTAAATGAAAATACACAATAAGATTTTGGTCTCATTACCTGAAGAGTATGCTTTACAGTAAACAAATTTATAGAATTTTCTTAAATTTAGAATTTTCTAACACATAAAATCTGAAGAAATCAATAAAGTTTACCCCTTTGAAGAAACCAAAGTGCATAGCTCCTCTTTTGGGGGCTAATTTTCCTAATAGAGAAGAGAAGCTCTACTAACATCAAGAAACTATATAAACAAAATTATTGTTCAGTCATAAATTTCGACTTAACCAATGTCAAATTATGTGTATAAAGGCAACCAAGTTTCCCAAGATTCATTTCTTTTTTTGACTGTGTTTCTGAATACCAAAAGGTCTCAATTGGGAAGCACCAAAATCTGTTTTCCCAACAATTAAATATTTACCAAGTTTTTTTTATTTTTTAAATCTTCACCCAAAGACATGCTTATTGATTTTTAGGGAGAGGAAGAGAGGGAGAGAGGGAGGGAGAAACATTAATCCCATAGCCAGATGCATTCCAACAAAAGTATGTGCCTTGACTGGGAATTAAACCTGCAATCTTTTGATGTACAGGACCAACCAACTGAGCCACACTGACCAGGGCAAAAATTTCCCGTTTTATAGCAACAAAGAAAGTAAATGAATATATACCTTGTTGTCTACCACCTCTTTGTCTTTCAACTATGTTTTCCTGACATATTTATAGTTTAAATATACTTTTTCATTTATATAAGTAAAATTCACTCTCTGGTGTACAGTTCTATGAATTTTGACAAATACACAGTTGTATAACAGAACCACAGATTTAGTTTTAAGCAAATTTTCAAGGTACATCCACTGAAGGAAAACTACAAAAACTACATTAACAATTCTACCAGTAATGGTTATATAGATATAGCTTCAACAGTCTCTATAAATATAAAACAAAACATTAAAAATGGAAAAGCTAATACTTAAAAGGAATGGAGCCATAAAATAGATATTAAAGCTAATCTGTGTGTATTAAGACTTCTCCCTCCTACAAGTCCTTTGTTTTTAAATGATCAACCCAAAATCATTACAATGCAAAAGGTGTTCATTTATTCATTAAGCAAAAGTTATTTTTTAAAAAATATATTTTATTGATTTTTTACAGAGAGGAAGGGAAAGGGATAGAGAGTTAGAAACATCAATGAGAGAGAAACATCAACGAGCTGCCTCCTGCACACACCCTACTGGGGATGTGCCCACAACCAGGATACATGCCCTTGACCAGAATCGAACCTGGGACCCTTCAATCCGCAGGCCGATGCTCTATCCACTGAGCCAAACCGGACCGTTAGGGCAAGCAAAAGTTATTTTTTTAAAAAACCCTATTTATTAAAAGAAACATTCCTATAAACTTTTAAATTTCATTGGTTGATAGCAATATGAAGTTGTTCAAAATATTACCCATGATTTCTTTTCAAATCCCATTAAGAACAAAAAGAAAAGCCAAGATATTATACTTCTTATCTTACGGATTTAAACCAAATTTCCACCCATCTTTGAATTCAGGAATTTCAAAGCAGTATCCAAATACCTAACAGTTAACTAGATAACAAATATTGAAATTGAGTTCACAGACAAAACTAAATATGAGAAGCTCTACTACACTGAGATATCAATCTTCTCTTGGAACAATGCTTAGAATAAAAGGAATCACCTTTTTTTCTTTTATAAATCACTTCCTCTAAGCACACTAATTAAGCTTATTTTCAAGTAGTATAGTGTATTCTATTTTATATGAGATCCATTAATAATGCTTTCTTGAAACTTAATAAGGATCCAATAAATAAATTATTGAATGTAGGTAAGGATATTTATTTTTTCTGTATATTTGAAAATTTTCACAATAAAAAGTTGGCAGAGCCCTGGCTGGTGTGGCATAGTTGGAGTGTTGTCCTGTTACACCAAAAGGTGGCTTGTTCAATACCCAGTCAGGGCACACAACCAGGTGCGGGTTTGATCCCTGGTGGGGGAGCATGCAGAAGGCAACCAATTGATGTTTCTCCCTTTCTCTCTCTCAAAAACCAATAAAGCAGCCTGGCCAGTATGGCGCGGTGGTTAAGAGTGGACCTATGAACCAGGTCTCAGTTCGATTCCCGGTCAGGGAACATGCCCCGGTTTGCAGGCTTGATCCCCAGTGGGGAGCGTGCAGGAGGCAGCTGATTGATGATTCTCTCGCATCATTGATGTTTTTATCTCTCTCTACCTCTCCCTTCCTCTCTGAAATCAATAAAATAGATTTAAAATAAATAAATAAATATCAATACCCCTCCCTTCCTCTCTGAAGTCAATAAAATATATTTAAAATAAATAAATAAAA